GAGTGCTTTTGAAAACCCACGGGAAGTTACTGATAAGCTTAATAAGGAGGTATTGTCAGGGCGAATAATTGGTCCCTTTGACACGCCTCCCTTTGAGAATTTTCGAATTTCCCCTCTTGACCTGGTTCCTAAAAAAGCTCCTGGGGAATTCCGTCTCACACATCACTTGTCTTTTCCGGAAGGTTCTTCTGTAAATGACGGTATTCCTCGGGAGCTATCTTCTCTACATTACGCTCGTTTGCCGGAGGATAAGCTCGCACGTTGCCGGGGGTTGTTAACGGAATTCTATAACAAACGCAGTGTAACCCTTAAGGAACTGCAGTCGCTTATAGGGTTATTGAATTTTGCGTGCTCGGTTGTCCTTCCCGGTCGTGCTTTTCTCCGCAGAATGATTGATCTGACTTAAGGTGTGCGTAAGCCTTATCATCACATTCGTCTCACGAGACAGTGTAAGGAGGACATTTTGTTATGGCTCAATTTTCTAAATTCGTTTAACGGGAAATCTTTTTTCTTATCTGCGAAGTGGCTCACATCTAGTACCATTAAACTTTAATTATACAGACTCGGCGGGCTCTCTAGGCTACGCCGCAGTCCTAGGCAAACGTTGGTTTTACGGACATTGGCCGGATTGTTGGAAATCTCTGAATATATCCATACTAGAGCTTTTTCCTATTGTTTTGGCAACCGAGATTTGGGGCGACATCATGCGCAATCATTGCATTGTTTTCTTTTCGGACAATCACGCTGTGGTCGATATCATCAATAAACAGACCTCCCGTGAACCAAAAATCATGGTCTTAGTTCGCAGACTCGTGCTAAATTGTCTCAAATATAACATTCTTTACAAATCTAAACACATACCAGGCATTTTACAGTCAAACCAGGTCAAGCGTTCCCGTCGCTAACGAACTAATGAATTCATTCATGGAAAAATGATTTCGTTTGTTGATTCAATAATCCATTCATAAAATAAACAATCCAATAGTCATATTTAGCCTCGATTCCATAATCGAATGTTGATTCGATTACTGTTTTTTGAAAAATTACACTTTCCACAAGTTGACCTCAGAATTTTGTTTTTTCCTTTTTTTTCTGAGAGTCGAGTGCTGGCGAGTTCTGAAGTTCAAACCCAAACAAACTGTTACATGTACGCCAGTTTGCTGCCAATAATCAGTGCAACAGACCTAGGCCTGATCCCTTAGAAAACACGACGGTCAAACTGAGGTCAGTGTATGTGCGGTGATTGATGGATTTCGATCCTCGGCCTTTGTCAGTTTCTTTGCGTTTGCGGTCTGTCTATTCTAGCTGTTATTTTGATTAAAGGCAATGAAAAACGCAATCGTAAACGGCAGGAAAAGGGAAGCAAATACGATTGAACACAACAGACAAGGATAAAGAACAGGTAGATTTTGTTCATAAACCAAATCAACATTTGATTATTGAATCGAGGTACAATTTGACCGTTGGATTATTCATTCAGGGGCACCCAACGACCGTTTTCTGGGAAATGATCTGAAATGGCTCGTTATGCATCCTCTTCATTTTATGAATGGATTATTGAATCAACAAACGAAATCATTTTTCCATTAATGAATTCATTAGTTTGTTAGCGACGGGAACGCTTGACCTGGTTTGACTGTAACAACATTATTGCTCCATTTCATACGCCTTATGTCTATGTTCAAAAAAGATTATTTGTTCTTCTCCTGAATCCCCCCCGCGCCCCCTATTCAATGTTGGGACATGTAACAACAATTACGCACAAAAACAATTTAGTTTTGTCCAACATTGATCCAGGGGCGGGGGGGACAAGTGCAAAAAAGGTAAAAATTGGTAACCTTCCCAACATTTTTGACGATGATTGTAGCTAGGTAAAAATGCGTTCCTCCAAGCAAGGGGACAGCAAAATAATATCGTTAAATCGGGATATCGTTGTAAACGAACTCCCGATTTAACGAAATGACGGCGAAGGAACTAAAAATATCGCAAAATCGGGATGATAAAGCGGCTTACATATCAAATAACTTTAGTGTGACAAGCTGTTGACAGAAACGCTAGTCTTGTGCCCTACTGGACAAAGGATCCCCATACCTAAATAAAACATTGTGTAATTGATAGATGTTTGTCACTCTTTTACGGTATGCGATATCAATTATATCGTTGTAACAGGAAACATTTTATGCTTGGGTCGCTAGATTTCCATAGTGAAACCGGGAATATCGTTGAATCGAATATCGTTAAATGGGGATTCTGCTCCATACAATTGACTGTAACTTTTGAAGGGACATAGAATGTTGATAGTTAAATCGAGAATATCGTTAAATCGAAGATCGTAAAATCGGGGTTCCACTGCAAAAAAGTAGGAATAAGATAAACGATCACCTAGCAACACGAGGAACGGCTTATGTCTTCTATTTAGCGCTGAAAATCGGATATATAAACAAAACACACACGCACATACACGAAGTAGAGCTGAAAACTCTTTATTTCAATTTTGTCTGACAATTACAAATCCGTTTTCTCCGTTCTGTCTCGAGGAAATTAAAAACTATTGTAGTTTCACGCACCGTTTGTCAGTTAATTATGCGAGGTCCACATTTGCACACAAATTAGTTCAGTTCTGCAGTAAAAACCCCAAGGGAGAACCTTGACGTATTATTATAAAAACACAGAACAATAAAAAAAATTAAGAAGGATTAACTGAAACACGCGACTAATAAATGCTCGAATTAAGACACAAGAAATCAAATTTATGAACCTTTAATAATTGCAGAAGTTTTAAATACTTGATTTTAAAGAAATATTTGAAGTGACTAAAATAAAAAAGGCCATCTACAGTTCTTTGTTACACTGCATGGTTTTTTACATACCCCTCCCTCCTCATTTTTTTTGTTTTTTTTTTTTTATTTCCCTCCTCCTCTCTTCAATTTTATAATTTTTCCCCATCCTCTTCATTTTATAAGTATATATATTTTCCATCCACAAATACATCGACCCTGCACTCAACTTTTTGTTTTTCAACCCAACTGAGATCTCGTTTTATCACAGAATTTTAATCGAATTGGGTTACAGCCTCGCGGTCATGCACCTAGCAGACTTCCGGTGAAGAAGTTAAGACGTCTGTTACACGAAAGGAGAAAACGGTATTTGTATGGAAGGGTATCCTGAAAAATATCATTTCTTACTCTTCCTACGCATTCACAGTTAATCCACAACCACGACGCCGAGGTGTACGCTCCCAAAGCGTCTTGTTCATGCTGAGATCTCCTTGCAGCCACCCTGGGCCCAATTGTTCGAAGGCCGGTTAGCGCTTAATCCGGGGTTCTTGTTCTTCTGTTCCAAAGCATTTTCTCGGATAATTTCCTCTGTTATTGTTAGAGCTTCCAATCATCAACTTGTAGACAAAAAGAATTAAAACTGAAATGCTTTTTAAGCTTTCAAATCTGAATTCAAATCTCGCACTAACCCTAGGTTATCTTAACCCAGCGTTGAACAACTCGACCCTGGATTGCTTTTCGTGCCCCCACGAAAAGCTGTCCGGTATGGTATAAACACTTATCCGATATATGTGATTCTTCACTTTAAGAGATTGGCGGGGCGCAGCTTCGCCCCAGTACAGAAATAGGGCCGAGAGCACCGTTCTCAGTGGCGGGGTTCAGACCTTCAGATAAGGGGGAAAGGGGGAGGGAGGAGGAGGGGGGCGGTCACCGCTGAGTTAAGGGAAGGCCTGAATCCGCCACTGGTTCTTATGTGCGAAGAGATGCCCTATCCGATATAATTTCCGTGCCGGTGTAACCTTTACACTCAAACGGGAAACAGCTACGAAAATTTCTTGGAGGGAGAGGAAGATTTGCATGAGGAAAGAGTTCAAGTCCCACAGGATATTTTTGGGTTCACTAACATGGCCACCGTTTCATTGTTTTGGTAAACTAACACATGACAGGGGCGACGTCACGTAAATGAAGTGAATAAATTAAACCGAGATATAAGAGACCCTAAAAAGAAGGGTGTCCTGAGGAAAGGCACCGTCTGACTTGATTCAATACTCCGTGTGGAGTCACCATGTCATCAAGACTGGTCACACTTTCTTGGCGAGTAAGTGCAGCGTTGCATTAGGTACTAAGCGGCATTCCTGCAGAGATGCAGTTGGATCATCGTAGACTTTGTTGGGAAATGACGTCTTGATGTCGTATGGAGGGGCATTTTCAGGCCTAAATTTTAAAACAGAATAATATAAATCAGCAACTTGAAAATTATGCAAAAGTGAAGACTGCTTAACGGCGCCAAAGAACTATCACATGTCTCAGAAGAGAGCCTTGCTTGAGAATCCAATTACAGCGTTTACACAAGACGCTTATGGTAAACGGCAAGCTTCCCATTTTCTGTCTGTAATCATCGCGTCTTGTACTGTGAAGGTGAGCATTCATCTTAACAGTCTCCACAGAAAGTCAGCTTTCTTTATTCTAAAATTTCGTTTAAGGCTCATTTTCATCAATTCTTTCATGAAAAATGAAACAAAAACAATTACATATATTGAGGCATACGATCCCAAATGTATCCGACGAAAAGACACGAACCTTTTCGCATTTTAAACTACAAATGTGAAAAAATGACGTGCTGAATCTTCCCGATGACCCCTAAAGAGCCATTACTTCCGGGTTGGTCCACCCTTGCTGTTGGATCAGTTTAGAAGACGAGGAGGGAAGAAAACCAACCTCAACCGAGTTGGGGGTAGAGCCGGGAGCGACTAACCACCTTATTTAAAAAAGAAATCACACAAACATCAACTTTTCTCGAAGCAAGATGGTAAAAAAATGCTACTTGAAACTCTCCAGAATTTCCAAAACTCGTCATTCAGCGCTCGGACAAGAGGTACAGTTTGATAGTGAGCACAAACCTTGCAGCGTCTATGTGACTCCTTACATCAGCAATACAGTCTGTAAACTTCATTTTCAAGATATACGTCTAAACAGACACAAGAAAAGAGAATACAGTTACGAGAGACAAGAAACCTCTTTAATTTTGAACCTCCTATCTTAGATAAAGTCCATCGTCGATTGTGCTGGGGAGATTCCCTGTCATGTCTTCAACAAATGATTTGTCCTTTTCCACGGTGAGCATTGCAATACTTACGTGTTGGAACGCATCGGGGGAAAAAGAGGCCTAAAATATCCCCATGCATTTGGCTTATAGTTAAACGTTTCTACAGATTTCATACAAAAAATTGCAACCATTTTTAAAGGACTTTTCAAGGACCACCTACCACGAATGTAATTTCACAAACTGAACAAAAATGCAATTTCCATTGAATTCTAAAAGGACTTTAAGGTTCAAACTGTTTGCTCCACCAAATTCGTAAATTGATGGCTAATTCTTACATAAAACAAAAAAACGCTTCAAGTATTTCTTTAACTTCTCTGAGCTATGATTTACTTTCTGTTTTGGACAACCAAGAGGCATTAAAAACACTTTCAAGGCCACTACATTTGAAACGTGAAGAAAGTTCAAGGGCTTACATAGAAATTTAAGAACTTTTCAAGAGCTCCCCCTCAAATTCAAGGACTTTTCCAAACTATGCGAACCCTGTAATCTACTTAGGGGACCACCAGTTTTAACTTAATTGAAACATTTTCACTCGTCTCGCCTACTTTTCCTCACTCGCACAACTTCCTGAGTCTGTCATGTTGGCAGACTTACCATTTCTCCTGATTCGGACTTGATTCTTAATGTTGTAACTTGAGGTGAACCTGACTGTGGTCTTGGCCCAGAAGCACTCCTGTAATGCAATTGTACAAAGTGATTGAGAGTTCTCTTCAAACTCTGAGACGTCACTCTCTGATAAATAAAAGAATTTAGCAGTTACTCAAAGGGGTGGTCAGCGATAAACCAAAGTTACAAATCTTAATTGGCGGTTTGGTTAACTGACTTACAGACCGTTTTGGGCTGTTAGTTTGGTTAGTTCAGTTGGATAAGCACCGGTCAGCTAAGCGAGAGGTTCAAATCCCGGCCAGCGGAGAAAAAAAGTGCTGCATTTGTAATACTATCTACAAACGGTTAGACTTGCTAGCAGGGCTGTCACAGATGTCACGATGCCTCCTATATGCAATTAGTAGGTGGAGAATAGAACAGCCACGAAGTTCTTTTGGTTCTATTTCCTTTCCGTTTCCCATGAAAGTAGCAGTGGCCGATGGAGGGGGCTCGGGGCCCGGTCCCCCCCCAATTATTTTTAGATCAAACGGAGGCCCGAAAAAAAAAAAAAAATGTTTGTGGGAGCCCCCACCTTATCTAAGGGTCTGGGTGACCAACCCCCGCCTTATCTCAAGGTTTGGATCCGGGAACTGAGTAGTCTGAGGTGATGCTTGTACATCCCCGCTCCAAGGCACAACGTGACAGCCCTGGAATCTAGTCTCCTCAGATAAGACAATAAACCGTAGACTACGTCTCCCGATCTTTGCAGAAAGTATAAACCCTGTGGGATGTTAACGAGCCCAAACAATCTTCCCGTGTTCATAAAGAACAGGGCCAGTAGTCCTTGGTGTGGTCGTCCATCTCAAATTAACATTCGCTTTAGGAGGCACTCATAACTTGTTATTTCACTGATTTTAAAGTGCGTCACAAGTGGTCTGCAAAAAGTCCCCAAAACAGAGTTGTAAAATCCCTGAAAAGCAAGTGGGAGGGAGGGAAGGGGTAGATAATAAGACTTTTACAATTTACAGTTTTCAAGGTATGCAGGTAAATACAGCATAATGCGCTTTTTTCACTTCTTATTTTGCGAAAAGTATTGTTTGTAATTTGGCCTAATCCAAAGCACAAGTTAGCTATCTTTAGACCGTCGGGCCTAGAGTGAGGTAGATCAACTAAAAGAGAAAATAACCATCAAGGCATATATCGTCTAAAGATGGCTAGTCGCTTAAATAACCCAGTGTTTAGCCAAAGTTTTTGAAAAAATTCTTGTCTAGGAACTTCAAAAAATATTGTTAAGCCCTTACTTCGAGATCTAGTCATGCTAACACAAAATCATATTCTACCCAATTGAAAACAAGACACATACAATTATGGGCTGAAGTTTTTTACCTCGAACTAGAAAAAGAAGACATTACGTCTTTTTACATATTCAACGTACTAAAAATCTAGAAACTGTAAAAATAAAAACTAAAAGTCTTGAGATATAATTCGCTCTTCGAGCCTCTGGTATACTTTGTCCATCCGGACACCATCAGATATTTGTCTTAGCATGGCGTCACTGGAGTAAGAACTGGTAACACTGGTTATTTTGAGATGTGCGTTTGAAGCCTGGATTAGTGCTAATAGGCCTTTTAAGATAGGAAGCCCCAGAGGGACCACAATATAGCGGATTACCTGGTCTTAATATCCTGGAGAGCGGGTGTATCAAGAACTTTGACGTCTGAATGGCCTGCTCCACCCTATAGTAACGAGAACAGAGATTTATTTTCAACAAAATAGGGACCATACAAAGTCGCTAGAGATAGGCATAGTCAA